ATCTTCAATTCTAACACTAGGAGTTGAGATTTAATCTGTGGATACCATTAACTTTGTTAGAATTCTAAAATATATATGCTAATTGAATGTTTAAATGAAGAGATACTTTTTTATATTCATAATATTTATTTGTATAAAAAGTTAAAGATTAAGCACCAATATTCCAAATTAATGAGAGATTGTTGGTAGTTTAAAATGTAGTGTATCCTACATTAGATAGAAAGATTTAATTATTGATGAATAAAATTAATTTTTGTATTAATTTTATACATATTTTAAATAATTATATTTGGACATATGATAAATGATCATAATTATTTGAATATAAATAAATTATTATTTATAAATGTCATGATTATATAAAATATTATAGTCATTTGGATAGAAGTTTATTATTCACTACTTCTTATTAGAGAGCTTAAGATTTTATTATATCCTAAAGATATAATTACTTTTAAAAAAATATTTTCACGTCTCAAAGTTAAAATTTTTTTATTATTTCTTTTCTTTTATTTATTTTTTTAACAAAAAGTACTATAACAAAGTTCAATGTGTTACAAATATGTATATCCAAAGAAACATACATTTTTTAAGATTTTTTTCTGTGCAATGAAGAACAAACCTTTAAAGAAGAGATGAGTAAACTTTCAGCCAAAATATGCAATCAGGCGTTCACTCCAATAATATTGTTTATAAGTAATACCTTGATTCCTTGTGTTGTTCAAGTACCTATGAAGGCTGCAACCCCAGATCCAAATGCTCAAAGCATGTGGACAATATGAATATACTTAATAAACCAATTAATGCCAGTGGTCCAATGCATGGATGTCATAGACTTGCATCAGAGCTATTACATTAATGAATTTGGTTGAAAAGTAGCTAGTGCATCTTAATTACCCTAGGAACCTGAGATTTAGAGTTCAGCCTGAACGAGAAGCGTACCGCTAGTCCAAATGCCCACTTTGTGATCCAGTGAGTTTGGTAAACTTTGATATCCAAAAGTTGCAGAAAATGACAATTTTTACACACATTATATTAATGATCAATCGATCATTTAAAACTTGCAAGTACATTTCGAGAAAATTCATCAAATACAATTGCATCCTCCGTATAACAATGTCGAGAAAGTTGGTTTCACAGGCCCCAACCAATTCGTTTGTTTGTTTTTTTTTTTCTTTCTTTGACCTTTTGATATTGTGTATAAAAAAGGGTTTGTAAAATATTGCTTCACCATTCTCGTTTAACTACTTTAAATAACTTTTAGAATAAGATAAAAATAATTAATTTTGTGACCTATTTCCTCAATTAGTTCCTTTCCATCATCCCATATCGAATGTCACTATATATATGCCTTTCATTAAACATCTTATTAATTATCCATCAATTATGGATGGTTGATTAAGTAAGAATTGAATATCTTGTTTATAAAATTTAGGTTTGATTTTCATTGTCAATAATTTTTTTTTATAAACGAGTTGTAATGTTAATATAAATGAAACTTACGGCATATTCTAATCTTGAAATAAGATAATTTTTCTTCACTTAAATATTTTTATAAAAAATACAATCGAACAAAAGCTAAAACTTAGTTTAGAGTTGTTACTCTTTGTAAGAGAGATCAAGAAAAAATCATCGAAATTGAAAAGTTATTCACCCTGTAAACTTTCTTAGATAACTTAGTTATCGGGTTTTGATCCGAATCAACGTTAAAGAGATCTTCTTTGATCTTAAAACTTCCTCATATGTTCCAAAAGAATATGGTACCATCCACTCTATCTATTTTGGGTTATGGCTGCGCATGCTTTGTTTGTTTTTGCCACACTCTATCTATTTTGGGATATGGCTACGCATGCTTTGTTTGTTTGTTTTTGCCCACACTTAAACACCAAATGCTAGGAATTTAGACAACCCCTCTATGGAATAGTTGTACATATTAGGGTTAAGGAAAACATGCAATAATAAAACAAATTAAGGAAAAAAAAAACTCATAATACATGCAATAGCTGTAACAAGTTAAAATATAGAATTTTGGTTTTTGATTTTGTTACTTTTGTTCTCTTTTAGAAGAATAGAAAAGTAGTTTTGTCCTATTCATACATCATGTATGATCATTTTTATTTTTTGTTCTCTTCTAAAAATTTTTCAAAATCTACAATTGATTTTGAACTATACTGGACTTAACTAAGAACAAAAATAAGAATTACGTAAAGGGAATATCGAATAATAATTTCAAGGAGGAAAGGGAGTTAAAATAATATTTTGGTAAGTCTAAGTACTGTTGCGTAAAAGAGATGAAAATTTTTGGGAGGGCCGTGGTCCATGCCTGCCCCATAGACTTAACTCATATAATGGACATTTCCTCAAAAGTCGTAACGCCCTCCCCTAATGTCCAATTAATGGGGTAGGCAAAGTTGAAACTTTTGTTAACAATCATGGTTTTTTTGTAGGGTTTTTTTTTTTTTTTTTTGAGGATTGGTGTGGTGGAGGGGAGCCAAGCACTTGCATGAGCTGCAAAACCCTATACTAAATTAAGTACTTCAAAAAGTAATATTAATAGAAATCTAAAGTTTTGTTTAATTTGTTTATATAATTATTTTTTAAGTTAAAATAATAAAAAAGTCTTTGAATTTTAAAACTTTTTTTATATAAATTTTTATAGTTTTATTGCATTTAAAATAAATTTTTAATTTTTAATTTACATCAAATTAAACTCTTAATATATTAATTTGTATTTAAATAAAATTTTAACATAAATCATTATTTCATTTGAAATAAAAATTTATTTGAATATAAAACAAAATATAAGAATATATTTAAACACAATAAAAATATAAAAATTTATTTAAATAAATAAAATAATTTAAAAACTTTTTTAATATTTTAATTTTATTTCAATAAATTTAAAATTTTATCCCCAATACTTTCTTTATTTCTGTTGCCAATGTATCGACAAGAAGTAATAATAATTCCAATAACTCTAGGACGAAACACCATATGCCCACTTAACGAGCAAAGTTATCGAGTAATGGCACACCGTGTGGGTTCGCTCATGTCATTCTCCTTTTTTGAACCTTTTTGTAAATTTAGATTTTCATTTAAAATTTTCCATTTGATATTTATAACATATGGGACAGTTGTATATGATTGTTTAATCATTGTCTTTATTTTTTTATAAAGTAACTTAAATAGAAAAAAAATAACGTTAAAATTTGAATATTTATTTGCTAATTATTAAATTGTTAATTTTTAAAAATAATTATATAGATCAATTTAATTAAAATTTTGAATTCATTATTGTATTTATTTTCATTGTTTTGGTAAATAAAATCACAAAATTTATGGCATAATAAAATCTCATTTAAAATTAACACTAAAATAGTATTTGGTATAGGGTGATTACTCAAAAAATTATAATGATCTAAATATAGTGATTAAATCATCATATTTAGTAACCATTGAGTGATTTTACGCGAAAATAATCTTGTATCAACGATAGCGATTAGATCATTATCTTAAGAGATGATATAATTTTAACTAAAGGTGTAAAAAAATTTTATCATTGGAGTAAAATAATATGTAAAATTAATAATAGTCAACATTATCTATTTAATATGTGAATTAAAATATGCTTCTTCTTAAAATTAATTGTAATTATTTTATATTATAATTGTTATATTTTCAATCTAATATTCATAGTAACAAATTCAAAAATATTTTGCGTAATTTTTTAAATTTATATATAATATAAATTTTTATTTTAATATATTAATTTTATTTTTTAATTCAAATAGTTTTTTTTTACATAATTTATATTATAAAAATTAGTTTATTATCAATAAATATATTTTTAATTTAATAATTTATTATATTTATTATGAAGTATATAAAATATTACTAATATGTTATACATAAATTATTATCTTTAAATAACATTGAAATTATTAATTTGTGTAGCTATTATAATATGTACGATGATGGCAAGTGATATGATCACTTTAATAATAAAATAATTTTAATAATTAAATTATTATGATAATTTTAAAAATGATAACAAACGCTTCCTAATAAATTAAGGGTAATTTTCAAATTTAAAATAACATGTTAAGGTAGACAATTGGATGAATTGAACCAATTTTTATTACCAATTTGAGTCAATTCCTACTTAAATTTATATATTATCTTTTGGAAATGAGTACTAAAAAGTTAATATTTATATATTTTTATTTATGGAAAGAGAGATATCTGCTGAATGGTTAAAACTTATAATTTCATCTTGAAGATATTTGATTGAAATTTTAAAATGAACAAAAACGATTTATGGAAATTAAACCTTCCATCTAATCATCACAAATGCAAAATTATTGAGTATCACACGTTGGATTGCTGATTAATGATGCATTGTTATATTAAAAGCATTCAAAGCTAAATTTAGACCATTTTTGTGACAACAAATTAATGAAATTTATAGATGGTTGGTAGTCCGTGAGAGTGGACCTTAATTCTATTTTTGCATGGTGCCCACACAGAGTGTAACGGGAAGAATTATAAATCTCTATAAGTTATGTATTAGAGTTTATTATAAGATATAAAAATTCATATTATTTTTAATTTGTGAGATATTTTTTTAAGTTAAAATCATAAAATTAATAAAAATTTAAGTAGATAATATCTTATAAGTTAATGTGAATCATGATAATTAAGTTGATATAAGACGTCAAATGAATTCATATTGAATCTTAAAATTATACGAATCTAAAACTTAAATGTTAATGAATAACAGTGATATCAAAATTAATTTTAAAGATACTAACAATATGTCATCAAATACAACGAACTTACGTTACAATTTTGAAAAAAAAGTCATAAATTTTATATCAATTATATATTAAAATTAATCATAAAACATAAAAATTCACTCTATTTTTAATTTGTAAAGTTATTCTTATGAAGCAAAATCATCACGAAACCAAAAAAATTGAAACGGATAATATCTCCTACTTTAATGAGAACCGTGACGGTCTCGGCCCCTGATTTGTTGTACAATGTGTTAAAATTCAAGTAAGAAGCAAGTTATCAAACCAAATTACATAAAAGAAAAAAGATCCCATTTTGCTTCAACAATAGTACGTTAAAGTACTTGTCTGATTTTTTTGTTTTATGTTCTGTTTTTTTATTTGGTTTTGTTATTAAGCTTTGGAGTTTGGACTATCATTTTTGTTTAAAGTTGCATCAAGGGTGGGTTCTGGTTTTGGGAAAAGAAAAAAAGTATGATGATGGCTGGTCTTAAATTGGGTTCACTTCCACCAGCAGTGTTAGGAGGAGTCACAGTAACAAAGAAATGTGAAAGATTTAGTGGTGGAGTTAGGGTGGTTGGTGATGGTGGTGGTGTAAATGGGTTCCCTTCTTTTCTTCCTAAAGAGGTTGAGAAAATCAAAGACTCTTTTGCAAGAAATTTGGCTAGGAGAATAAAGAGGCTCCCAGTTCAGGTTAATTCTTCTCCCCTTTTCTTCCTTCATTTTACTCTTTATAGTGTTGTCTCTCTATTTTTTACCTCACTTTTTGTTGTTTTAGTGTCTTGGGCTGACAAAAACAGGTTTTTGGTTACCAAGAGCCTTCTTTGTTTTGCCTTTTTTGGAAAATGGTAGCTGTTGGTGGAGTTTTCTATGTGATGGGAAATTTTAGATTTATTTGTGATTAATGTGTGCTTTTGGCCAAATTCTAGGTATAGAAAATCAAGGTTATTTGGCTACAGGAATTTTTTTTTTTTGGTGTCCACTTATAATATGTACATATATATATTTATATAAAACTGTTAATAGATTTACTAATTTTGTTGATGGAAAGGATGTTTGTGAAAAACTTTTTGAGGTGTGAGGGAAAATTTTTCCATCAAATTTTCTTATTTTTCAAATTTTGGAGTGTCCATGGACACCCTACTTCATGCTTTAGGTCCGCCTCAGTTCTTTTATTGATTGAGTAGTGGGATAAAAGAAGAGGCTTTCATTAGGCAAGTCTAAAGATTCAATCTTTTTCCTTCAAATTGTAATCTGTATCAATTCTGTTTGCTGTATACTCAACATAGGATAGGAGGTTTTTTTTTTTTTCCTGAAATTTTGTAGCTGTACTTATCAATCAAGCAGAAAAAGCTATACCAGATAATTACGAGGGATACGGATGTATCTGTTTGTTTTCCAGAGAGCTATGTTGTAGAATTTACCTATTTATTATTTAGCCCGTCCATTAAATTATCCTTTGGCTTTCCCAAATTGGAACTAATATTTGTCACAATTGCAGATTGATGGTTCTGAAAGTTTTATAATGAGTAGTTGTGTTCAACCACTAGTACAAAGTGATGCCAATCCAGTTGTTCTTCTCCATTGCTTTGACAGGTTAGTAGCATATTTATAGATTTAAAGTAATTATATGTTACAACCCGGAGTTTAGCTCAGTGAATTCATGCTGCTACCCTTAAAAGGTGGCATCCAATTGGTCTGGAGTTTAAATTCCATCACCTGTAACCCCTTCTCCTAATCTCAGGCTGTGGCCTCCTTTGTACCAAAAGTAAAGTAATTATATGCTTCCTGTTTTGTGCTGAACCTGTTTCAATATGTTGTCCCCCCTTAGTTCTTGTTTGGAATGGAGGCGTGCTTATCCCTTGCTTGAAGAGTCTGGCTTGGAGGCATGGGCTCTTGACGTTCTTGGGTGGGGCTTCTCTGATTTAGGTTCATCCTCCCATCTTAACTACATTTCCACTGGATTTTGTCTTTATGTCTATTTCCTGCAGCATGCTTTGATAATGACTGGTCTTTATATTTTTTCCTCTTGGTTCTGTTTTTGCAAACCTTTATTAGGAAGGCTTCCACCATGTAATGTAGCATCTAAGCGATACCACCTCTATCAGGTATATTCATCAAATTCTTTTATTCTCAAGGTTTTTAACTGCTTCTTTGGTCACTCAGTTGTCTCATGCCGTGATCTAGAATGCTTTTAATTTGCATTCAAGTGTTGCTGTGACCATGTATTCTTAAACATGGCACACAAATTTGTTTTCTGGTTGGCATTCTGGCTTGAGATGTGTGGATGATCTGGGTACATATGCATTTGGCATCAGTAAGTGGAGATTTAGATCAGTCCTTGAGTTTAGATCTGTAATCTGTTTTTTTGTTTATTCTAGTTTTGGAAGTCGTACATCAAAAGGCCGGTAGTATTAGTCGGACCAAGTCTTGGTGCTTCTGTTGCAATTGACTTTGCAGTAAATTGTCCTGATGCTGTAAGTCTATCCTCTATGATTTAGCTTATTCTCATGGCTGCACGTTATAAATGCTTTGTCTGAAAATCTACTAACTGCTTTTCCAAGTGCCTGTCCATGCTTCACTATCATATACATCTATCTTGCTGCTGGAAAAAGACAAAGGAAATTGAGCTAGATAAGCAGAGGCATTCTGTCCTCTGTATTTGCTTCAGTATATGCTTCAGTATCTCTTACTCTTGTCTTGTCTCTTAACCTCACTCACTTGGAGTTTGGTTACTCATGCTTGGTGTTTGTGTGCTGGTAACAGCTTTTTCTCCATTTCTCAGGTTGAAAAGTTGGTTTTGATCAATCCAAGTGTATATGCAGAAGGCACAGGAAACCTTGCAAAGTTACCGAAAGTAGTAGCCTATGCTGGGGTAAGTTTCCATCTCCATTAATTAACATGACTTTCCTGTTTTACTCATTTATTTATTCCATCAATGAACTTAATGCTAACATTCTAGTAATGCTTATGGATCAGGTTTCGTTACTAAAATCATTCCCTTTACGCCTTTATGCAAATTTATTAGCTTTTGATGGCATACCACTATCCAAGAACTTAGACTGGACTAATGTAAGTTTTAAGCTCTGACATTATTTGTTCCTTTTATTTCCGGAGTACTATCTGAACAATGAGATTTAATGTACTGCTGAGTTTTCTCTTGCTACAAGTTGCTATGTATAAAAGCTAATCTCCAATTTTGTTTTCATATGACAAAGTAGGTTGGCCGCCTACATTGCCACATGCCTTGGTGGAAAGATGCAACTATCAATTTTATGGTTAGTGGAGGCTACAACGTAGTGTCCCAAATAAAGCAGGTACAGTGATGAAAATTTTGAGGTTCACATGTGTGGTTAAAGAGTAAACATCAGTCCTTTAGCCCTTGCATGTAGTTTGTAACATATTGTTCTCATAATACACAAGACCCATAAAATTTAAATAAATCCAAGGACATTGGTGTTTTTATGAGAACATGTGCTCCTCTTGCAGCTAGTTAGTGTTGATCTGATATTATCAGATTCTGTAACACTTGCATCCTTTAAAATTCATCTCAAGAAGCAAGGGAAAGTTTATGTCTAATTTCTTTGCAGTGAAGAGCAGATTTTACAAAATTTAATAAAGTTAATGGGGAATGCTTGTCATGCATGATTGAAGTTATAGCTTGTAATGCACAATTTTCTCCATTTATCTTTCTTTCTGTGCTCACCAGAATGAGGTTATAGCTTGACTTGATCTCATGAAACTGATCCACATTTGTGGCAATAACAGGGGACTGTGTCCTACCTTGTAATGCACGAATTGCTGAAGATTGAATTAAGTTGGATTCTGTATGCATTATGTTAATGGAATGCAAAAAAGGAACTGATAAAGAATGCTTCTTTTGAAAGTATTTATTTTCTCATATTTGTTGCATATGAGGCAAAATGGAAGGTTAATTTCCTCCAGTGCTCTCACGATTACAGCTTAGACATAATATTAGTTGTCAGATATATTGTTCTAACATTCTGTCTGAATTTTGTTTCTGCAGGTGAAGCAGAAAGCACTAATCATCTGTGGCGAGAATGATAAGATAGTAAGCAACCAACTCGCAATGGTGAGTTTTCAGCATTTCAGGCTATTATTTACCAAGTCCTATTTCAAGTTTTGAGGTTATTACTTATGAGGTCTTGCGTCAAATATAAATAATTCCACACAAATGCAATTTCCATGTATAGCAGTGCAGGTGCTAGGATATTTTCTTCAATTTTCAAAAAAAGAGGCCATACTTTTAATTCATAACTTGAATCCCAAACAAATTTATGGACTAAAATTTAAAATATGAACAGCATCTTCTTCTGTTACAAACAAGCAGCCTGGTTTGCTTTTGCACATTTTAGGTATGAAATCATACTTGATGATCACATGGAATAGTCAGGACAATTACGATGAGAGCTACTTTCTGAAACACAGATTCTCTCATTCGCTGTTCTTAATGCTCGTAATACTGTCCATTTGCTTATCATTATTAATACTAATAAAAGGCGATATGAACCTGCTAGACAAGTTGCAAAAATGACCCATTTTGCCTGGCCTTATCAAGAAATAAACAGTACAATATATGGTTTGGCTACAACTTCTGATTACTTTGTGTTTTTTTTTTTACATGTTCAAGAGACTGCTTTGTGAACTTCCAGTGGCAAGAATGCAACAAATACCAGATAGTGGTCACCTTCCTCATGTTGAGAAGCCTCGCCGTGTTGTGAAGTTGATTGCAGATTTTGCTCGAAGTCGATAACTGATGAATGTGAGGACAATTGCTCAGATTTGCAGAAGGAGATGCTTTCCAATCTCCATTAGTTTGCTGCTGGTTTTCAGTTCATCAAGTAGTAACACAATTGTGGATTTCTATCACTTCTTTTAATTAGCTTCTTGGGTACATGTCATGTAGGACATTTATGTTTGAACTTACTAGTATATTAAAACAAGGGTAAGAAAAAAATAGCATTAGACAAGATTTTTTTTTTTTTTTTTATTGTCTTTTGAGTTACAGTTAAGGTTCAAACTCAAGATTCTCAACTCTCGAATTGATTCCTGTATCACTAAACTTACTATTCATTAATGATATGATTCTACGAAGATTTTAGAGCGATAAATGAGAAATATTCATAGGCAATGATTGGAGTGTATGAAGGTTAATCCTAAACTTCAGCAATAATCTCCTGTTTATCATGTATGGAAATCTTTGAAAATTTTCCTGTTGGGGTTTCAATAATTGAGTTGAAGCCATTGAAATTCACTTGAACCCACAAAATGACATTGAGAACTAATAATCACAGGGTGTTTATTGAGAAAATAAAATTTGCATGATGCTTTGTGGAAAAAGGTTAACATCTCGGCGGAAGCAAGTGGAGTTTGCCTTACAATTCATATTTGTAATACAATGTCTTTGTTATTATTATTATTATTTTTATGTTTTTATGGTAAATTACAAAAGAAAAAAAAAACAAGTGGTTAGAGATTTTATTTTATTTTTTGGTTTAAAACTTAATAATTTATCATTGTGATTTTTTCCTTAATTTTTTTTAATAAAAACAAGATCACAATCTGATAATAAAAAAAATAATGCGAGTGCAAATTTGAATTTCTATTTTATTAAATATCATCTTCTAAGGGTGATTATATGAATCAAATAAATTAAGTTTTGAATTCAAATTTTAAATCATAATTATTATTAAAAAAAGGCATATATGACATTGTTAAATAAAATAATAATTAAAAAAATCGATTTTAATTTTAAAATTAACTTTAAAATATAAAAAAATAAATGTCACTTTTTAAATCATATAAAATGTAGTTATTCTGCCTTTTAATCACAAGTGAATTTTTGTAATTTATTTTTTTAATAACATTATAGCATATTATTATTATTATTCTCATACATGATATATCTTAGGTAAATTTAAATTAGCATATGAATTTAAAATTAATAAAACAAAAAATACAAATAACAAAAGAAACTAAACCCTCGATAAAAAACTTGCTACCTCTAATTATATCTTTACTTTGCTACCTCTAATAATATCTTTACTAAGGAAAAAACAGTAAAAAAAACAGAAAAGGGGAGAATGAAAAGAAATAGAAACATTGGGGACCTTTTAAAAATAAATGAAAATAACGAGGCTGATTTGAAGTTTTACCATAAACTAAAACCCTAGCTCTCACTTCTCTGCCTTTTCCTTCTTCCAAAGCCCCTACCTTGTTTCCGCTTCTTTTTTTTCTCTAACATTGACAACCCAAAGGAAAGAAAAAGCTCTGAAGAAAAATGGAAATTGACAGAGAAACCAATGAAGACAACTCAAGGAGGATTCAAGTCAGATTTTTAACGAAGCTAAAAGCTCCATATAAAGTTCCCACAACAGCCATTGCCATCCCTTCTGACCTCTCTCGTTTTGGCCTTTCCTCCATTGTTAACAAGCTTCTGCAGGCTGGTAAAAGTTATATATATATATATATATATATATATATCTATAGAAATCACAACTGTGTTTTTGTTTTCTTTTCATTTGGAATGTTCGTTTTGGGATTCAAGTTAATAGTTTCTTGTTATAATTTGATTTGGGTTTTTTCTCGGTTCTTGTAATTTGTTGCCAATGGCCTCATCCAAGCAAATGAAAGCATGTAGATATTTCTGGGTGGTTAACTGTTTTCATGTTTCCTTTTAAGGAATTTGGGTTTTTTTTTTGGTTAATTTGTTGCTAATAATCTCCACCCAAGCTGGTAAATGTATATAGATGCTTAAATATGAAAATTTGATCGGTTTTCTATTGTGTTGGAGGTTGTTTAGTTTTGTGTTTGATTGTTTTCTGGTTCCTTTGAGACTTGTGGCTATTTCTAAAGTCAAGTCAATGACTTTAGAACTGTTGGTATACTTCAGTTAAGGGTTTTCTGGGTAATTTTTATCTCTTGGTTTTGTTAAGTTGGACATTTTGTGGCTATGAGCAGTGGATTCTGAGTGGAAAACTGAGCCCTTTGATTTTCTGATCAATGGAGAGCTGGTTAGGATGTCGCTTGAGCAGTTTCTTCTTGCCAAGGGCATTTCTGCGGTACTTTATTTATCTTTAATTTTTTATAATGTTTGAATTTGCTTTACTGAGTTTTAGGTAGGTAGAAAAAATTGTGAAAAATACCTAATGAGAAAGATGCAATCCATATGTTGTTAGTCCTTATCAAACATGTCTAGTTATCTCCTTCCATTGCCATCTTTCTTATTATAAAGTCCTCCTCAGGATGACATTCATGCTAAAGATTTGCAGATATATGAAACTTTGAGAAGAGTTAGGATAACTTGGTCAATCCTTAATTCCTAGCCATATTGTGTGACAATTGCAGGAGAAAATTTTGGAAATTGAGTACATAGTAGCTGTTGCCCCTCGAAAAGAGGAAGAGCCTTCTCTGCATGATGATTGGGTCAGTGCAGTTGACGGTTCTAGTCCTTGGTAAGGATTCCAATATGTAACCATGCAATGTGTACTTCACTTTAAGGTTTTTACTTTTTACTTTAGTGTTATTGTGCTGGTATTTTCTTATTTATTAAGCAAGATTAGATGACTTTTAGTTGGTTGGCATTACATTTATTTCATAGCACTGCTAAGTTCACATTGTTTTGCAGGTTCATTTTGACTGGTTGCTATGATGGGTTAGGACGGTAAATTTTACTTTGTCTTCTCCTATTCTTTCTATCTTTTAAAATTTTTTGTTCTATTCATTTTGTTGCGTTATTGGACTTTTCATTCTGAGGAAGTTGGTTTGGAGGAATCTTCCTTTTCTCTGAACTTTTTCTTTTCTATATAATTTCTTTTAGGGTATGGAAAGGAGCTGGATGGTGTACACATATACTAGAAGGACACAGTGGTCCAATTTCTTCTGTTAGTATCATCAACTCTGAAGGTTTGGGCTAGTAATGGTCAACTTAACATTTTAGTTCTTGATATTAATGAATCATTTTAATGTATGACTATGTCATATGAATTTTTACTTCAATAAAATCTATTTCTTCTGATTTTATTTTCTGATTTTATTGGACGACTGCAAGCCTGCGTTATGTATCATCCTTTCTGTTTTGGTAAAATGAAGCACAGTTTCCAGTGGTGTCTCTAAACCTATCTCTGGGCTTGCTTGTATTCATCTTCATGATTATTTTTCTATTGATGAGTATGGTATGTTGCACATGCAGGGGCAGGAAGTGCTACAGTTGCCACTGCTTCAAAAGATCAAACTCTGAGGCTGTGGAAGGTAATTGAGAAAATGAATTCATTTCAAAACGGAAAATTAATTTCTTTACAATTTGATACATCTTTTTCCTATAAAAGTTTGATGCAGAGGACTCCAGTGATCACCCTGCAAGGATAAGGGCATTCAAGATCTTGCGTGGTCATAATGCATCTATACACAGTGTTGCAGCAAAGACTTCCGGAGACCTGGTCTCAGCTATTCTTCAAACCCTGTTATTGTACTGTGATAATGATGATTTTTAACATCAAGGTCACTGCCTCTTTCTCTTTACTTGATATAGGTTTGCTCAGGTTCTTGGGATTGTACAATCAACTTATGGCGGACAAATGACTCTGATACAGATGGAGATGTGGTGACAATCAAGAAAAGAAAGGTGAAAAATAAAGCTGAGGAATCTCAATCAGAGGTATGGCATTCTTGTCCTCTGCTCCGTTGCTCTGCAGTTCAATTTTCAAGAAGCTGAAATTGTTTATCATCATGCATAAAAGAATATCCTTGCTTTGTCAAGCCTCTTTAAAAGTAAAACAAGAAGAATATGGACTTCTTCTGAAAGAAGCAATGTTAAGTATAACACCTTATCATTTATTGAATCTCCAGTCTTGTCCTTGCTTAATCTCAAAATATTAGGTAGAAGTTGTGGCTAACCATTATCATTAATTTGTTATTTCTCTCCAAACAGTTATAAAACAACAATGTCATTGTAAAGAATGTTGCGTACTTACTCATGCATGTTGCTCTTTCTGATATAAATTTCAAAATTCTCCCTTTTTTTCTACATCCTTTTCTTATTGCTTAGTTTTTTTTTTTTTTTTTCTGCAGCAAGTTATTTTTATAATTTATAACAACATCATTTTCTGCAGGGAGAGGCTGTGTCTACACTCGTGGGTCATACACAGTGTGTTTCATGTGTGGTTTGGCCTCAACATGAGACAATTTATTCTGCATCATGGGATCATTCTGTCAGACGATGGGATGTTGAGACAGGCAAAGATTTGTCAGATATAGTATGCCTCTCACTTCATTTGTCTTTGTGATTGCATGCACTTGCATTCTAGTTAAAGATGGGAAGTACAATTTATGCTTCTTGAATCATGTCTTTGCTCTTTTTCATATGTTTGAACGTCCAATTTTTGTTCATCCGAAAAAGGGAAATATACTTCTTGGGTTGTTTTTCATTTTCCATTTTCCTCACTTACTCAACCTGTTCCTCATTTGCTTTCCATTTTCTGTGGTTCTATTGCATTTTTATGTCCTTCCTCCCATCCTGCACACCCCTCCCTAGAGGGTGGCTTCATCATACTTGACTACACCTGTTAGTCAAATTTTTTTCTTGAAAATTTGCAAACTGTAACTTTTGTTTAACGAATGGTTGGAATTTGAGCAGTCGTTGCTTTTAGTTTTGGGGTTGACTTCAAATCCTGCATTAGATACATGCTAGGTGCAATTATGTTGATTCATTTGTTTTCCTGATTTTGTCTTCTGTTGGAAAGATTAAGGTAGAAAACTTTTTTTTTTCCAAAGTTTGAATGATACCATCCTCCATCACGTGCAGTTCTGTGGCAAAGTCCTTAACTGCATTGATATAGGAGGTGAAGGATCGGCTCTCATTGCTGCCGGTGGTTCTGACCCAATTCTTAGAATATGGGATCCTCGTAAGCCAGGTCTGTTGTTCATAATGTTTTTCTTCACTCTTTCTTACCCACTTGGTGCATGTGTGGACACATGAAACCACTGAAATTTCCATCTCACATGAGACTTTTCACTTTTCAAGGAACATCGGCACCTGTGTTTCAATTCTCTTCACATAGTTCTTGGATTTCGGCTTGCAAGTGGCTCAATAGGTCTTCTTTTCATTTACTTTCTTCATCCTATGATGGGAAAGTAATGTTGTGGGATCTAAGAACAGCGGTATCGTATTCTCTGTATTTTCACTATTTAGCCATGTAGTACATGCCAAACCAGAAGAAGTCTTTTTTTTTTCTCTGGATACTGTTTTAACAAATGCTTTTGTATGGCAGTGGCCTCTTGCTATCATAGATACGCACAAGGACAAGGTATTCTACTATTCTTTGTTGTCTATATTCTTTTGATGTAGTTTTCAAGCAAACATATTGAAATCCACATATATGTTGTGGCCTGGCTGCATTTTAGGTATTATGTGCTGACTGGTGGAAGGGTGACAGTGTGGTCAGTGGTGGGGTGGATGCGCTGCTTCAAATTTCTTCAGACATCTGTATCCAGTGAGGTAAAATTTAGCTATATTTCTTTAAATATTCATCACCCATTCAGCTTTATCTGCTCCAATTTAAGTGAATACTTGGGTGATAATTCATCTGTTCATGATCCAAAATTTCTATTGATATGCAAATCCCAATTTTTATAGTCATTGGTTGTAGCTGAAAAAGAGTATACATAAGGCCTTTGCCTTTGTTCAATCGATGAATTTTTAGTTATCTCTACTTTTTGTTTCATTCACCATGATATGGTGATGTTAACTTACCTTTCTTGCTACAGAACACAAACAGCATCTCAAACTTGAGACCAGATGATGAGCGTGCTTCCTTTTTCTTTTGTTTTTCCTTCCAAAAGGGATGGATGATAGACACTGCATGTTTATGTCAGCTGTGTTATTCTTTGACATGATGCTGAAAATGGAGCCGGACGATTTCATGGCAAGTGAGAGGTTATAACTTATAGCATTAAAGGATTAGTGTCATCTTTCAACCAATTTTGTTCAGGGACCTTTAACTTGTGTAAAAAAGCACATAGGGCTTAACATTTCCTTCAAATGTTGACTTAAAAGATTGTGTTCTATTTGTTCAATTATCATTACATTGTTTATGTTTTACTTGATGCATTAAAGTTGATAGGATTAGTTAAGTGAACTGTTCTTTGAGTTCAATATTAATGGTTTTAAAACTCGTACATCCATGCTGCAGGACACTTTTATTTGAATTGGGATCTCTCCTATCACGTGAGAGAATTATCCTCCATAATTGTCTCATGCTACTAAAGTGTTGGATGTGATATTTTCTTATAAAAAACATTTTTCCATTTTCTTTTAAAAAACATTTTTCCATCATGTTCCCCACCTTTTTGAACATGATGATGGTTTGCTTTAGTCTTTTTATGGGGGCTTTTGGGCTTGTCTTCATTTGTTTATTGTCATTTAGCAGATCTTGGAAAGCACATTTATTTGAGCTGGTAGGCCAATCTGACAAGCCCGTTGATGTGATCTAAGCTCTTAACACTTTGACCTAAGATTGCATATATATATATTTGAAACTGTGGATTTTAATCATTAAAATTAAAAAGTTCAGTATTTTATTAACATGCCGAAGCTGTTGGCAAGACTGCCTAGCTTTCAAGCGTCAGTTTGAGGGTTAAAGTAGCTATCTTAAGTGTGACTTTCTAAATAGAATATTTGAGCAATTTTCAATCTACTTCAAGCTGAGCCAACTATTGGCCTGACAGTCATTTCAGTTCTAACCCAACTACATGGATACGGCGATATTGTAAATTCGTTCTACTGGCTTAGATCAGATAATCACTTCTATTCCTGACCTTTTTTTTTTTTTTAAAAATTTTTGTTTCGGGTGAAAGATTCCTAAACTTTGATCAGTATATTCTTTTTTCAAATTGATTCAAACAAATTTATTTATATTGCATTTAATGAATTCAAAATAAATTATTTTTTTATAAATTTTCAGCAAATTCGAACTTAAAACAATTATAAAGAGAGGAATCCACTCTCTTTGCTTATTTACTAGTTATAATATCGATCAATAATGTTCACATCAATCCACTTGGTCATGTTTAATTTTTCACTTGTTTTTTTTTTTTTAGGGATGGTAAGGCATGAAATGAATTAAATTTTTAACTTTATTTTTTTAAAAAAAATTTATAAAATTAAATCGATCAAAATCCGACGATTTTGAGTAAATATATCATTTTTATTTCTCCACGATAAGCTTACACAAGGATAGACACACATCCTGACGCATTCCAAAACAGTTGATTTTTTGTCACTGAAATTGCTTATCATTCTACACCGTACACAACTAGAATTCCTGAAAAATGTTTCTTGGAACCCCTACTCTCTGGGTTTTACAATATGTTTTATTCCCTATCTAGATTCTTCAAATGTCTATTAATAGAGCATCAAAGGATGGCCATGGCTGAATTATAAATTTCATTCTTATGTCATGCACTCGTGTCAAATTTCGTTTCTATTAATAGTGCAGCCTGTAACATTTTATGAGCACTTCTTATGTCTTAATGGAATTAATAGAAGCTTGAAGACGGGTCGGGACCCATTGCCGAAAGTTCTGTCAAGATGTACCATGCCAACAACGAAGGTTATGTTGTAAAGGTAGGTTGGTGATACGCTAGGGATGAAACTAGGTCTTTTTTATTGGAATCCTTCAAAGGAAAATCAATTTGATGGGATTTGTCAAAAAGTTTATCATGCCAACTCAATGATCTTAGTTATATTGATAGAAGAATATCAATTATCCGTGCCATATTCAAATTTTTTTTTTTAAATATATTTCGTTATAATAAATTAAAAATAGCTGATAAATTTTTCGATTTTATGAATAGAAAAAATATTTAAAGAAATATGTTATGGATGTCCAGTGAATTTTTTTTTAATTTTTTAATTTTTGAGATGTTCATGAACACCTAATTATGCCATTTGGATACATCCCTATAGTAGTACACATATGAAAAACTAGTCCCCACCTGCTTCACTACGCAATATTGGGGTCAGCTATGCCAGCATATAGCCTTGAACATTGAATGCATGCCGTTGCTGCAGCTCTGTCAAGAAGCAAAAGAATGAACATCATGTTGCACAGACAGGTGCACAAACCCTAAACATAAAAAAAACAAAGCAGGTGGGAAGTTTCCAATGATCACAACATTGCCTGTGACATCATAACTGCAGTTGGTGTTTTGCAAGTCTGCTTGAGCCAAGTAAAAAGGTTTGCCAGTGGAGATGCAGGGGATCGAACCCTGTACCTCTCGCATGCAAAGCGAGCGCTCTACCATTTGAGCTACATCCCCTTAGTATTATTTTCTTTTTTCAAATTATTCTACTATTGTAAAGGCTTTACAACATCTAAGATTTTTTGTGATTTTCTTAGAAATATTTTTTTAAAAAAATATTTGCAAATGTAAAACATTGTCTTAAGGCATTCTTTAAGAAATAATAAAACTTTGGATGGAAGTATTAATTTAACAATTATAGCTTAAATATTCTCCTCCCATATTATCTACATAAGAGGACTTCCTTTAAAACACAAGCATTATATATGTGATTATATGTGCATGAATGAGTATATATTTAACAACTTAATCATCCCTTTATTAAAATGTCAAATTAACAACTTAGATTTCATGTCTAGTACTAACTTTCTTTCAATAATTACAATCCTAAACTCAAATCTATCATTATTTATTTTTATACTTACATTTTTTTTTTTTGAGAATACACATGCATATATTTATAAATAAAAATATTATATATATTTTTATAAAAAAAACTATAATATAAAATAAGTGTTAAGATTTAAATATTAAATTTATTAAATGCTCTTGTTTCAAAGTAACTTTATGAATCAATTAAACTAAATCATTGATGCATAATGCATATAAATATATATGTATATATGTTAGGAAATGTTACGGTCGTCTTTAGTCAATAATATTTTTAAAAAATTATAATTAATTTAATGAGAATAATATTTTAAATAAAAATTATCTTTTAAAAAATAGTAATTTAACTAACTCTAAAGGCACCCATTATCCAAACCCATTTATAGATGACGAAATTAATTTAATGTAAAATCATTTTCTTATATTCTCTACATTAGTTTGTCAAACACATTCATATTTTTTAAATCTCAATATATACGTTGATACCAATGTCAATATGATAGACGACATGATTTTTCAAATTGGGCTTAAAGCAAAACCTTGGCCCAAACTTGTAAAAAACCAAAGAATGATAATCACCATTTATTCCCTGTGATATGCCATTAAGATGAGAAAATAACTGTTGGCGGGAAAATAAATAAAACCCAAAACATTACAAAAGATAATATATATTTAAAAATACAAAAATCTAAAATTTTTCTTAAAAAATCAAAACCCAAACCTCCAAAAATAACTCAAAAAAAGAAAAAGACGACCAACCCCCTCGGATGATCAAAAGCGCGTGAAATCCGCTCATCACAACCACTTTTTCTCCGTTTGATAAACGCAACGTCCTCTAATCTACGTCCAATATGCATCACGCACTGTAAAACAACTAGAAGCCTCCAACCGCGAAACACTTCAACACTTCCTAACTTCCGAACCTAACTCCGAATCTTTCCTTTGGTACGAACCTATTTTTTCCTTTCTTTAAAAAAAAAAAACAATTTATTTTTTTATATATATTTTTAATTTTGACACTGATTCGATCGCTTTATCTTCGCTTCCCGGTCTGAAAAATCCAATTCTAGAGGGAGAAACAAAAAAGAAAGAAAAGATTTTAGAGAGAGTGAGTGAAAATTCACACCGTCGTTTTAAGTTAAACTTTCCCGTCGTTTTGAAACTTTCTCCTTCTCTGTCTAATTAAGCTTAGCTTCGTTAATTACAGTTAATTTGTTTTATTTAAAAGAAAAGAGGAATTGCCGTTTCTTAGCTTCTGTTGAAGAACCCTAAAGAAATGATCTTGTGGCTCAGATCAAAAGCTTAAGTTCCTCTTGCACTCTTTGTTGTCTGAAGCTTTTTTTTTTGGTAATTTTTTTTAATTTTCAGCTTATTTTCTTTTTGCTGCTGTTGTTGTTAATTTAGCTTAAGGTTCACTAATTTAAGTGATTAACATTTTTCCTTCTTAATTATGTTTATATTTTTGTGTGTGTGTTTTTTTTTTTTTAATTTTTAGGGTTTCTTGTGTGTGGAAAATTTGGGGTTTAGTTCACAATGGAAAATTTAGGGTGTGTACTAAATTTCATTATTTTCTCTATGCATTTAGTTTATTTGCGTTAATATTATTTTAAATTTAGTTGAGTTTAAGTTTTTCATTTTTCATTTTTGTGGGTTTTGTTTCTTAAAGGTGTTGAATTTGTCCAGAATTCACACAAATTGTTACAAATTTATGGGTTTTTTTTATTGCTTTTTTTTGTTGCTAAGAAAATCGATGTAAACTGAAGGCTTTCAACTTTGTTATTGTAGTTGGTATTTGATTTATTCAGTGTATGTATGTGTGTGTGTGTGTTTTGCATGATTTTTTGCACGATTCTTTACATTACATGCTTTATTTACTTTTCAAAATCAAAATGTCTATCATAGACGAAAAAAAAGGTGGTAAAGCAGCTGAAAATGAACTAAATTGATGCCTTTATTTCGCCATTATCTGGGATTATTCGTTGTTCTTATCTGCCTAATAATGTCATGGTGTAGGATGATATCTTGCAGAGTGGAGTAGTGGCAATTTGGGGAGATTTTCCGGTAGAATAAAGTGGCTTTGAGCTGTGATGATCTTATAATATGGATACACTTATATTGTGCAAAACCATATAGCTATAAAACCGTGGTTTGTGGATTTTTAATGCCTGGTAACGAGGTTGAAGACGGGATCCACAGTCTATTGGAGCTAGACAACTCTCTCCTGGGCCAGTATCTGCCGCAAGCTGTGGATGGAAATTGGCCAGTGCTTAACTATAATCCGTGGATTGGAAAGCTGAGGCAGATTGGCGCACCCCAGAATTTCAATTTGAAAAGCTACAATTTGCAACAATTAGGTATCAATCTGTCACGCTTAATTCTATATTTTTCTGCTGCTTTTTTGTTTTTTTTTTTTTTTTTTGGTAGGATGAAAATTCGTTCTGCTTAATGCAGAATAGTCGCTAACCTGAAATGAGAATATATATTGAAAAAACAATGCTTAGTTGTAATTATTTGGACTACATATTTCATCAGATTAAACTACCTACAATATTTTCTTGTTATTCACAGATTCCGTGAGAGGATGTGGTGGTGAGGTGTTGAGTGTGCCACACAATCAAAACTATACACAATTGTCTCCTACACTTGACTATTCCCAAATTCTTTCCAGAAACCACCAACTAAATACAAATGACTTCTGGCTTGGTTGTCAGAGTTTTGGGATACAACAGAATCAACCAGGGTTTTTGTGTGAAAATACAGGTTATGATCAGTATAATTTGATTTCCAGAGGCTCTTCTATCTTTAAATCACATCAAGAAAATGAGTCTTGTGAGAGTCCCACCCTGACAACAAATTCGGAAAGATCAGAAATTACTGAAGCTTCTACTGATTTAAACATTCTTAAAGGGCAACAACAACTTTTGAACACGCCACAACTGAGTATTCAGCAGCCTCTCCCCATGCAGCAGTCTGGCTATAATGACATGCAGTTGTTGCAGCAGCACATAATGATCAAGCAGCTGCAAGATCTTCAGAGACAACAGAAACTTCAGCAGTTTGGTGATGGGAGGCAGCAGAATACTTTAAACCAACTTTCTGCTATCGCCAAACAGTCTGCTGCTGGTCAGTTCTCTCCTCTCATTAATGGAACACCTGTTCATGAATCATCACAAATGTTTATGAACATTGTCCAGCAAGGTACATCTCCCACTACTCCCGGAGTATCTAACAAAGTTGTATTCCCACAAGATCAAGGTCAGGCTTTCCATTTGATGGGCCTAAGTTCTCAGCAGCCTGATGCATCTTTATATGGTACTCCTGTTGCTAGTGCAAGAAGTAACATGAGTCAATATTCTCAGCAAGGAATCTCTAGTGACGCTGTTAATTTGTTAACCAAGGCTGGTGGTCAAGCACATAAGCTTACTATGCAGTCATCAGGTGCATTCTTAAGAGATCAGTTCACTGTTTCACCAGATCAGGTCTACATGTCACAAGGTGCCTTAATATCAAACCCAGGATTTCAGGGGAAAGATATTTTTGGACAAGCTTCTGTCCAGAGCATAAATAATGGGAATATGTCAGGAAGCTTCCCGGCTGGGAATGCTGCACATATCAATGCATCTGCCAAAGACTTAAATGAAAAGCAAGAGCGAGCTGGTTGGCCTGCAATGCAGCAGAAAACTAGTCAAATTGGCCCCTCTCAGGATTTGGTTCCTTTAGATCCAATGGAAGAGAAGTTATTATATAACATGGATGACAACTTCTGGGATGCCTCCTTAGGCAGGCGCACTGATTTAGGTGCTGGAAGTTTCAGCAATGCATTGGAGAACTCAGATTTTTCGAATGCATTTCCATCTATTCAAAGTGGGAGCTGGAGTGCTCTAGTGCAGTCTGCTGTGGCTGAGGCTTCTAGCAGTGATACTGGGTTACAGGAGGAGTGGAGTGGATCGACATTTCAGAATACTGAACAGTCAACTGATAATCAGCTTTCAAACTTTGTGGACAGTGATAAGCAACAGGCAGGTTGGATTGATGGCAACCTGGAAAATGCTTCCTGCTTTAGTTCAAAGCCCATGCCCATGTTCAATGATTCGGGTGTTAACTCTAGCTTCCCTGGTTTTCAGCAGCCTGCCACCCAATTTTCGACTGAACTTGGAGAGAATCTACCCCATGATGTATCACATGGGTCTTCTGAAAGGAAGTCCCCCAAAGTCCCTTCTGAGTGGGTAGATTGTGGCACTCAACAGAAGCAATCCTGTGAGGGAGATCTACAAGCTCAGTCATATACGCATTTAGATAATGCTTGGGTAGGTCAGATGTACAAGCACTCAGACTGTGGTGCTCATCAGCAGAGTGCTACCTCACTTGAGGATTTTGGCCAGCCGTATACTAAACATAAAGGTAGTATCCCCATTCACCTCAAGGAAATCTTGCTGCATTTGATCTTATGTTAACAAGGGACTGTGGATATCGATTGCAGGTAGCGCTAATGATGGTTGTTTGTCGAAGACATCAACTGGAGGAATGGAGCAAGTACAATCTGGCACTGAAAATAATCTGTTCAGCAGAAAAGATTCACAGATAAATAATAACCATTCAACTGGTCAACAAGTCATAAATAATAATAGATCTAATTACATGAGACATGCTGATATCTCTGCCACCAAGGAAAGTGAGAGCAAAGGGCAAAAACAGCATCAGATAAGCAATAGGCCTCATGGTTTTGCTAACTCTTTTGAAGGAGAAGGTGAAATAGACGTAAATCGACAAAAAAGCTACCGAAGGCAGGCTTCCAATAACCACTATAATTCAAAAGGATTGAGTGATCATGACCAAGGACATTCTGGTCAGTTCAAGTTTCTTGCTGATGTTTCTAGTGGCAGTCCCAACTTCAATGAGGTAAATAATGGTGTTTTTTTTATTCAGATGGCATTTTTCATTAATGTTATTGATTATTCATATGATTTGTCCTTTGCAGGTGCGCTCACCTTTGGAAGAGGTAACTTCTGGGGATGATATCAAATTAGTTGGCCCTGATGGATCAAAAATTTCTGCTCAGACAAGGTGTTTACTTATATAAGCTCCTATTAACTGGCTTAGTTCATTCATTCTTTAAACATACAAATTGGTTGCTATTATAATGTAGGGATATTTGTGTTTATTCTTATTGTGCTTTTGTTGGTCAGCAGAATCTATTACTGAATTTTTTCTTGTGTAAGGCAAAGGCTTGTTGTCTTTTTTTGTGCTTAAAGTTTCTACGACTTAATGTTGAAATGTGATTGACTGAACCTATGCAGTCAAAATATGCTTGAGCTACTTCACAAAGTTAACCTTCCAAGGGAATTTGGTGCCATTGCACATTCTGGCTTTATAGACTCTAATGCATTGTCCAAAGTTCCTGAGGCAGAAGCTCATATATCCGTTGCTCAACTATACAATTCATCTTCCGCTTCTCAAGGGTTTGGTTTAAGGTTGGCCCTCCCATCCCAACAGCTGCCAAATTCAAAGTTTTTCCTCAATTCTCAGGGTTCTCCACAGACTCTAAGTTATCTAAAATCAGGGCAGGCCAATCAAACTTGGACAGCTACCACATATTCCGTTCAATCTTTGTCTCCAGCACATGATTTGTCTCAAAAAGTACATTTGGATGGTAAATCCAGTATGTCCGGACAAACAGGTGTCTCGCCATACTCAAACATGCAGGGGGGTGCTGTTGCAGCCTTTGCTTTCAGTCTTCCAGATCTGAGAAATCAAACACAAATGCAAAACATGCCTAATTCACCTGTAGCATCTCAATCAATACAGTCGACACTTTCAAGTACTAATAGGAATCCCCCTTTTAACCTTGCTACCTCTCAAGATACTTCTCAGCAGATTTATGCCAATCATTTTGGTCAACAGTTTCCGGTTTTGGAGGCTTCACAGGTATCTCAGCCTTCTATCATGTCAGGCATGTCAAGGCAGGGTGAATTTTCTGCAATGCAAAATGCACAGTCAACTCTACCAACTCAGCAGAATCTTTCTTTTTTAGAACCTCTCAAGGTTCCTGCCAGCTTGCCTCTGTCCATGGATCCCACAGATAGTAGTATAAACTCCCATAAAGGTGATTATGGGGAATTGCAGACAGGAAAAGAGAGGTATCTGCAGCAAATGTCTTCTGATATGACAGATTCTTCCCAGCCAGCTAGTTTCTATCAAGAAGAACCTTCACAAAAGCATTGCTTAAATGTAATTGCAATGCCTTCTTCCTCCTTGTCTCATTCTAATCAGGAGGACCAAGCCCCTATTACTTCTGAGAAAAACTTTGCACCTGGTGCCCATTCTTTGAAACCATTTAACAGTCTCCAGCAAAATTACTCCCTGTTGCACCAAATACAAGCAATAAAAACTGCTGGGACTGATCCAAGTAAGAGTACTGATGACACTCAGCAGGTTGCTTCGGTGGTAGGACGGCAGTTGCATGAACATAATTCAAGGTTGAGAAATTCAATGGATAGTGGACCAAGTTTAGCTGCAGAGGATAACAAAACACTAAGCTTCTTCACAGGTTCAAGAGAAGATCCAACTATAAAAGCTTTGTCACAGACTGCTCTCGGACATATGCCTTCCACTGAGATGGTCAGATTTGGTCAAAATAGTTCTCAGAGCCAACCTACTAGCAGTTCTTATGTAACTAATCATACAAATCATGGCCAGGGTAACCTGCATATGGCACCCTCTTGGTTTAAGCAGTCTGGGACCTTCAGAAATGGGCAGATGCTTTCAGTGTCTGATGCCAGGATTACAAAATCTGTCTCTGGACAGTTCTCTCTCTTGAAGCCTACTCAGAATCTGCATATTCATGCCTCTGTTGGACAAGTAGATGCTGTGGGGGCTAGTCAAGCTGCTATTTCCAGGCCAAGCTCAGCTACCACCTTGGTGGCAAATGAACACTCTTCAGCTCCCTATGTGTTGCCGTCAGGCATCAACAATCAAAATATTGTTATCACAAGACCAAAGAAGCGCAAAGCTATGACATCTGAGCTTCTCCCATGGTGCAAAGAAGTGTCACAAGGTTCCAGAAAACCTCAAAATATCAGGTTGTTACCATTATTGCCCCTTTCTTTTTAACAAAATTCTTGTAATCACCATTCATATTGACTGCAGAGATGGGAAAATTTTCAATTATATTCCTTTGTTCTTTGTGTTCCCTCCCTGTCTTTTTCTTGGTTACTTGTGTGGGTTATTGATTCCTTGTTCGTTCACTGAAGCTAATTTTAAGTTATATTTGTTTCCACAGTGTATCAGAACAAGAGTGGGCTGAGGCCACAAATCAGTTATGTGGGAAGGTCTGTGTTTGATGATAATGGAATTTAGTCTCTCTCCAAATATTCTCCATGTGTTGAACCCAAAAATGATTCTAACTTTATATAACTACTAGCAGGTGGAAGATGAGGTCGAAATACTTGAAGATGTGCATCCGATGCTTCGATCAAAGAGGAGGCTTGTCTTGACAACACAGCTTATGCAGCTATTGCTTCCTCCTGCACCGGCATCAATTCTCAGAGCAGATGCCACCTCAAACTATGATAGTGTGTCATACTTTGTTTCTAGAGTAGCCCTAGGTGATGCATGCAGCCTTTCCTGTGGTGTAAGAAATAATATGGAGCTCTCCTTTGAAAACAGTGACATGTGAGTATTGCTCTTAGAAGTTTTGAATTTATTAGGAGACTAAAATGCAAACTCTTTTTGCATGATAACATAATGCTAATTTTTAAGTAGACTTTAGCTGCACATTTATTTTACACGAGATGTTATTTTAATTAAATTTCTGGCCTGGCCTTCTAAGAATTATATGTTTTTCAGGATCTCTGAGAAGTTGAAAACTTTTGAGAAAAGTGATGACCAGAAAATTTTGGAAGTCATGGAAGATTTTACAGATAGAGCTAAGAAGCTAGAAAACAATTTCCAAAGGTATATATGCCATTAATTAATTTCTGCATATTTCGCGACAATTCTTGCTCTTCTGATGGAAAATGATCCTCTTGAGTTACACAGAGATAGAAATTATGGCTGCATTTATATCCATATGTTGAGCTATGAATTTTATCACACAATTATATACGCAATACACACTTGAATTGACCAAACCCTGACATTCCAACTCCAGAGGAGAACGCTCCTTATAGCTGATAAATCAAACTTGTGTCCTATTCTATGATTTCACTTGCTTGCTTACCATCATTTGCTGCATGGTAATGATCAAATTATGTGCGAAAATAAATGATAATGTGGCCTTCATAACCCCATCTGCTGAAATAAAAAGGAGTGCCCTTTTATTGGAACTACTGCTTTTATTTTCCAGATTTATGCCCTTCTGCGCAATGGGTGGTTCTTTTATTCATTTGATGACAAAATTGTATCTATGACTTCATGTTCTTTGCATGAATACTATTTGTTTTTGCAGATTGGACAAGAAAGTGTCAGTTCTAGACATCAGGCTGGAATGCCCGGAGCTGGAACGTTTTTCTGTCATCAACCGTTTTGCCAGATTTCATATCCGAGGACAAGGAGATACCTCTGGAGCTGCATCATCCTTTGCAAGCCACAAACGAGTTCCCCAGAGATATGTCACAGCACTTCCGATGCCTAGGAATCTTCCTGAGGGGGTACAATGTTTTTCACTGTGATCATTATTTAACTAATCCTCGCTCATATTGAATGTTGTTTTCACCTATTCTCTGCATGCCATACCAACGCATTTCTCCATGATATCTCTCTTCACCAACCTTAATGCTGGCAAGCAAGAAAGACGAGAACGCGTGATGGAATGCCGGAGAGGTCAACCTTGTAGGCCCTTAGTTATTTTTAGTTGAGGCCATTGCTGTCATTTTTGAGAAAGTAAATATTGTTTCTTGTATATTTTCATGAAAGTCCAAGGAGAATAGGAGTATTCTAAGTATCATTTGAAAAAGAGCAAGAGGATCATCAGTATGAATGTCTTTTAACTTGTTACATAAATAGTGGAATTTAGGTTGCCTAAAACGTGGATAATATTTGTATCTTTGCCTTTGTTGGGTCTCTGTCCCGGTCTTTTTCTTTTTCACTCTTTAAGGTTTATTCTGTTATCTGCTGGAAGTACAGCAGAACAGAATCTTGCAGACCAGCAATTATTCAGCCAATGAAAATATTTATTGGCCGGTACAAGTGGTTGGAATTTAATAATGATTTTATATCATGAATGATATTTAAATTATAATAAAATATTTAACATAATATTTAAATTTTTAATATAATATTTAAAATATAAATTTATTAATTAATATAATATTTAAAAAGTTATTTATATGTCATATATCATCATTTGAAGTTTATCAAGTTAAAAGTGTAAGTATTGTATTAGTTAATAATATATTTATAATTTAAGTATTATGTTAAAAAAATTTTAAATTTATATAATTTATATTAATTATTTTACTTTTAATTTAAAAACATTTTCGAGAGTAACTCTTTTACACTCTAGAATATGTGAACAGGGCTTTCATATAGGATTTCCACCACTTAAATGTCCTTGGGAACAACAACTTGGTTTAATGCACATATGACTTTGAAACTTCATTAAAGATCACTTTCCTCAGTCACGTGTGTGTGTGATTACCCTGACTTGCATCTTATTGGGGGAAAACCAAAAAAGATATACCTGAAAAGGATTGCAGATCTTTCAATGATAACTTTACGAACTAAAGTATTTGTTTTCTTTGAAGAGTACAAGGCTACAGTTTCAGACAGTGATTCTTTCTGTGCCGCCCCTCAGTGTCCACACTATCGGTTTTAAGTAAAAGACAACAGAAGACTTTTTCAGCAAAAGCAGTTTTTTTTTTTTGTGGCTTCGGAGGTGATTTCTCTCTCTTTTTAAAAAATTGACTGAAAGCAGTACTGACAGATCAGTTGTTGTGATACTCTTGCATAACCCACCATGTCAGTATCGGCATTTGATCCAATTCATGATTGGATAATGATTAAGAAAGATCATGGAAAAGCTGAAAAATCCCGTGAGAACTAGCAGAACAGAAAGTAAAGTACTAGAAACAAAAATCATTCAATAATATATTAATCAGTGTGTAATGACATCTGTTAAGATAATATTTTTAAAACAAATTAATATTATTATTTTTTCTCATAAATTTAATAAAAATCATATATTAAATACAAAATTTTTAATAATTTAATTATTTTTAGTAAGCATTTATAAGCACTAGTTAATTGAACCCTTCATAACAATAGCCGTCAGTAATAATCCTTTGGTGCCGTTTGGGACGAGCAAAACAATCTGCTGACAACATCGGTGGGGATGTCTTCTGTTTTAAAGTTTAGACATCCAAAGTCCAAAAACTTGAACAATATAAACAAAAAGATTATTTTCCACAATCAACTCCACGTAAGCTTGCACCTTTTGTCCCGTATCAAATGGGCCCCAAAAAATACCCTGGTCAGTCCAATCGTCTGGCAGCCGTGGACCTTGTTGGATTTTGATTGATTATTCTCTTTTCCTTTTCTTTTTTTTTTTGGATTTGGTATATATTTATGACAATTCATTGGCTTGTACTTTGTTGTTGTGGTCCTATAAATAGCCTGGATTTTGTTCCAGGACTTTTTCTTCCTAACGCGCGTGTTCACAAAAATCTTAATAGAGTATATTTTTTCAATGATCAAAATTTAAATCTTAATCTTCAAAGGTGTCCTTGCTTGTTCTTTTACTTTATTTGAATGAATCAAACTAAGGCAGGACCCTGGTTAAAGGCTTCGGGGTGGTTGGCATTATGGCTGATAGGATAGGCCTTGGTGGTTGTTACTTTTGTTTTGAATGTCTTAATCTATCCCCGACCCAACCCTTTTATATTTACGTGGATAAAGAGTATATTACGTGCATGAATTCGTTGGAATCTGCAACTTTCAAGCGTCAACAGAAACCTCATGTCAAGTGATCCAAACATCAGCACAATTACATGAGCTTGTTAGTTGTTACTTATTACAACTACCAAGGATAGGGCTTGTGATTTACACAAGAATGTGGAGGATAGCAAATCTTTTAAGGGGAAAAACCCGAATGCTGTATTAGCTGCAAGCCTGTTTATTGCTAGTGGAGAGATTAGATTGTCCAACAGAAACCAATAAAAACCTGAAAGGGATTTCTACAGTTGCTGATGGAGCTTCAAAGAAAGAAACCAATAGGGCAATTGAAATTATAAAGAAACAACAAGAGGTTGATATGGGGACTGTGCTGCCAGGGGAACTTGTCAGGCGCTTCTGTTCCAAACTTGGCATGAAAAATCAACCCATCGAGGCTATTCAAGAAGCAGATATGATAGTAGAAGAGATGGATATAAAGAGGAACCCGAAATCGGTTTTGGCAGCTATTTACACGATAAATCAGTTTTCAGGTTCTGAGATAGCTGTTGGAACTTGGAGGTATGAATTCCAAATTATTCCATAGAAAAAATTTTATGGATTTGATTAAATCTTGTACTTTGCCTTTGGGACCAGAAATTGCTATTGCAGCGGAGGTTGCAGAGGGTACAATAAAAATGTCCTTCAAAGGTCTAGCTCCGTATGCTTCAAGGCTACTACCCCAATGGTATTCCCAGGAGGTCAAGAAAAATTAAGAAAATTTTCAACTCTTAAAGTTATGGGCAAGAAACAATTGCTGATTGAGGTTGCGTGTTTGTTTCATATTACAGCCGTGTAAAAAAGGAAACAGTATAGAAAAAATTTTGTTGGAAATGACCCATAAAAGGGGCTTTATAGAAGTGTATAAAAAATTATTTTTTTTAGATTAATATTTCATACACTGACAGTGTATTATTTCTATACACTATCAGTGAATAATACAATGACACGTCATTAATGAATAAATTTTAAAATTTCAAGCCCTTAAAATTAAATATTAATAAATTTATTTATGGTTAATTAATTAAAATTAAAATTTTTCTCTTCTTTGTCACTTCCTTTTGCATTTATCGCCTCCTTCCAGCATTTCAGGACTTTTGCATATCTGTGAGTTTATAGTTCTTCCAGCATCTCCGTCTAGGTAAGTTTTTGCATATCTGGGTAAGCTTTCCGTCTCAGTCAAATTTCGTGATTTCTTTACTAGGTAAGTTGAATTCCACTTCGAAATTTTCATTTTTGTTTGTAGTTTTGGAAACTAATTTTGGGTATTTGTGAGCTTTTGCTTCTTCCAGCATCTCTGTCTGGGTAAGCTTCTGCATATTTGGGTAAGCTTTCTGTCTCAGTCAAATTTCGTGATTTTTTTACTGGGTAAGTTGAATTTCACTTTGAAATTTTCATTTTTGTTTGTAGTTTTGGAAACTGATTTTGAGTATCTATGAGCTTTTGCTTCATTCTCGACATAAACTTGTCTCTCATGAGATAAGATACTTTTATTACTATGTTTATTTTATGCTTAAATTTGAAGCCATCCATAGGATTCATGCTATTGCCATGTTTTAACTTCTCGAAATTCGTTAATTGATTCAACTAAGTGAACAGCAGAAGATGATCTTGGCTTCTTAGTGTAATCAATAGTTAATGGTGTTAAATCTTTGATTGTATAGTACTACTAGATCGACCGCGCCTATTTCATTTCATTATAGACTCTTTTATCTATTTCACCCACTTTGTTTTGACCACCCATATTCTTTCTTATTACTTGTATTATGCACGATACATAACATGTGCCGATAGGGTAATGATTTTTTTTCTTTTAAACAGTTCTCCTCTAATTAGAATGAGATGTACTAAGTTCTGACTTTAAATTACACAAGTGCGTTTGTTAAGGATAATGCTCCAGTGGGAAGTGCAACTACGCTTAAAATCAAGTTTTGGAAGACAAGATGGTGGTGTAAAATCTAGTATCAATCCTGATTCTATTGTCCTAGAAGAGGTTGTTACTATATGTTGGCCCCATGGTGACATAATGAGATTGAGAACTGGCAGCACTACTGCAAATGCTGTAAGAAAAACAAGACTTAATGGAAAGCTAGTTCTAGTTAATGGTCAATTGATACTGCCTAGCACAGAGCTCAAAGAGGGTGATGTCAAAAAATTAAGATTGTAAATATAGAGAACATAATTGATTTGTATATATCACAAGGTAAAACAGAATCTATTACAAATTAATTTATCAAATCTAAAAGTTGTTGATAAGGGTGAGTAGGGTTGAAACATGCAGGGCATTATGGTGTGTGATTGGATTTCGTCAACATTCAATGTAAATACAAAAAATTATAGAGCAGGAATGAATGAAAATTTTTTATTTTTCTGTCCCCTTCTATTATACAATTTGGTTACATGCATGACTACCAATTCTTTCATTGTCTGCACCTTCTTCTAGAACTATGCCTAAACCTTTTTGGTTGTCCCAATAGGCAATTGTTGCACTGCAGTTATCAAATCCTACAAGAAAATTAAATAAAAGAAATAATCATGAATAATATTAAAAGAAATACATGAATAAGATATTTCTATAAAATTTTATCAATGTTTAGGAGATAAATCATATAAAATGTAAATTATTTTATCGTAAAATTTATTGTGTGAGACTTTAAAGACATATTTGTTTGTCCTTGATACCAATTTTGAGTCGCACTTGGATCCTACATACACAAAGATATTTCAAGTGATTCATAGTTCTAATAAGATAAATTTACATATTAATAGATTTAATTTAAATAACATGTTTGAACAAAGTAAAAAAAGTAACTACAAATATTAGAATATTGACTTATTATTACCTCATTTGATTGAATGAAACAATAAGTTTTAGCAGTATTGAGATTTGACACTATCTTTTGGCTAGAATCACACCTTCAAAAAATCAAAATTAAAAAAAATTAAGAAATGTTAATATGATAAACTATACCAAATTTAAAAGCATCAAACAATACCTTGATTGGTTTTTTAGCATGCAAGTGCGCTTTGTATGACCTTTTTATTTACAGAATGAACATATTTTTGAATTATTTTTTTGCTCCAAAACCCCTTTCATTATTAGAGTTCGAGGATGCCCTTTAGTAGTCACATGAGGAGGATCACACAAAGTTATATTATAACTCAAAAAATGAGTCTTATGATATTTTAAAACATCTTTAAAAATATTTTCATTTGTTAAAACACCAGTGCTACTACTTTTCTCCTCCTCAGATATTTTCAA